TGTGTGTGTGTGTGTGTGTGTGTGTGTGTGTGTGTGTGTGTGTGTGTGTGTGATGTGCCACACACAGGCAGGCCTCAAATTCGTGCTCTTCTTGTTTCTGCCTCCTTTGAGCTGAGACTCAGGCATGTACCACTATAGTCTGCCAAGAGTTTGTATTTTTCCAGCCATCTATCCGGATGCTAGGTGAGATCAGACCATAGTATTCACATGACCTTTTCTCTTGTTCTGGTTTCTTCTTTTTTAATCATTGAAATCCATGTCCGTTTTCAAATCTTTCTACTCTTTCTATTTCTGAAACAGTGATTCTCCAATGGATTGTACCTCCTGAATCTTACTGTCAGCTGATATTTCTTCTGGTTTTTTTTTTTTTTTTTTTTTTTTTTTTTTTTTTTGTGACAGGGTTTCTCTATGTAGTTTTGGTGCCCATCCTGGATCTCACTCTGTAGAACAGGCTGACCTCAAACTCACAGAGATCTGCCTGGCTCTGCCTCCCAAGTGCTGGGATTAAAGGCAAGTGCCACCACCACCCGGCTTACTATCAGATGATGTAATAAAATCTTTACAGCAAGCAAGCAATGTAAGGCACCACTGTTACTCTTTATTTGTCAGTGGGTTTAGAGAGATTGAGAAATCTGTTCAGCCTCATACTGATACATGGTAGAGTTCAGATTTAGCCTGTGATGATCATTTTGAGGTCATTATAACTGTCTGGGGTCTGAAAATTCCTCTTTGTCACTTTAGAGTTTAGGAAGTTGCAATGGGAGCCACCTGTCACTCCCAGAAACTAGAGACCCTTCAACATCAGTCTAGATTAGAGAAAAGCAATAATTTATTAGTAGAGTGGGACATGGGATGATAATCATCACAAATGACATTTGTACTAAGGTGCTATGATGAACCCCCTCACTTTCTATGCTAACCTAAAAAAATCAGTGAAACAAAAATTAATTCACGTCTTCTTTTCCTTTGAAAGTTTTCCAAGCATATGTTTTCCTCCCCAGTGTCCACTTGGAAATGGGGCCCCAGAAGGCTATAGTTTTGAGAATCTGGTCCATATGGAGCCTTTAAGGAGGAGCCTCGGGTGCGTCTGATGGGCCTTTCTCTTGCTTTTCAGTCTCCTCCAGGCAAAGTCAAGGAAGCTGTGAAGGCCGCCATTGATGTTGGATATCGCCACATTGACTGTGCCTATCTGTACGAGAACGAGAGTGAAGTGGGAGAAGGGATTCGAGAGAAGATCCAGGAGAAGGCTGTGAAGCGAGAGGACCTCTTCATTGTCAGCAAGGTACAATGGCCCACTTGGCGAATGCAGCTTCAAGGCAGGTGGACGATCTGGACCACACCCAGAGCTCTGTGCATCTTTCTTATGTGGCTGCATTTCTCCTAACCTCCTTCTTTCTTGATTTTTGTTATCCCTGGATGTAAATATTCACACTCCAAGTCAGTACCGGAAGAAGATGCTGCTGGCCTCCAACCCTTGCTGATTTTCCTGTGGTGGGAATGGCTCCAGTGAGCCTCCTGGTACCCTTGGCCTCTCGGCCTTCTCTTAGTAAGATCTCTCTGCTAAGTGGTAGGCGGAGGCTAGGGGTGGATTCAGGGTGCATTTCAGAACACACTGTCTAGTGCTGTGTTTAACAGCTCTGGCCCTGAGGGTTTTTTTCAAATATGGACATTTTGAAAATGGTGGGAGCTTATTTATTGTTAAACAGGGATCTCTTTATTTCAGTTCAGTAAAAGGTGAACTGTAAAATATTATTAAAAATAAGGGAGTGGGTGTGTGAGGAGTCCTAGGCTCTGTATTGGACATAGCTCTCCCAAACAGTCTAGTTCCAGGTGCTTGGAAACTGTATCTGGTGTAATACATAGACCCACTGTGGGGAGTGGCCACATCTGGATAAACTTGTATTTCATTACTTGAGCCGGAGAGGCTTCAGGTTGTGGGGGTACAAAATGGGACAACTTCTCAATAGCATCAGAATGCTTGACTTTTAAGGGCTAGTCACAATGCCTGCCCTCTGGGAGCTGGCAGCCAAGTTAAGGAATAACACAGGAACAAATACATTTAACCCGAGGCCAAATGTACAAAATTATTTAAGAAATAGAACACCAAGAGTATGGAAGAACACACACACGACCTTGACCTGCTGAGTGTTGGTGTCCCACCGTGTTGCCTTTCTTTTTTTCGAGGCAGGGTTTCTCTGTGTAGTTTTTGGTCCCTGTCCTGGATCTCACTCTGTAGCCCAGACTGGCCTCGAACTCACAAAGATCCACCTGACTCTGCTTCCAGAGTGCTGGGATTAAAGGCATGCGCCACCACCGCCCGGCTGTGTTGCCTTTTTTAGCCAACTTTATTATATATGAATGGCCTGTCCTGGGTTTAGCTCAGCCGCAAATCTCAAAGCAGGGAGGGCGACTGTGGAGTGGCCCTTTCTCTTCCCAGTCCTAACCCCGCCCCACCTCCTTGTTACCTGCAGCTGTGGCCCACCTTCTTTGAGAAAAGCCTGGTGAAGAAAGCCTTTCAGAAAACCCTCACGGATCTGAAACTGGACTATCTGGACCTGTATCTAGTGCACTGGCCACAGGGATTCCAGGTTTGAGCTGCTCTTTGCCTCATCTGCAGCCACTGAGCACATGCCAGAAAATAGCAGCGGCACCTGAGCTGGGGGCAGGAGAGAGAGCCGGTGTGTGTGGGGGGGTGCAGAGGAGGAGCATGGGCTGGAGAGAGAGCCAGGGTAGGGGTGGGGTTGGGGGTGGAGGAGGAGCATGGGCGCGGGGAGCGCCAAGGTCGGAGCTGTTGCCCAGAGCAGAAGGACTCTGACCCAGAAGGGAGGTTGGATCCACATGCGGTGCTTGGGGATGGCACATGCTCAGGCAGGTCTTGCTTTAATTCTGTTTTAGAGAAACTGTGATTCTGCTCAGCCCAGATAAATATGACTGCCCTGTCCCCTTTCCACTGACTCTAGGCCCAGCGGTCCTTTCCTAGGGAATCTCATAGGATAGTCTGGCATAATGTTCTTAGGGCTCAACATTCCTGCTAGTCCAAGTGCGCTCATGGGTTGGCAGCCTGTTGATGCTGAGAGGTAGCCAACCACTGGAAAACTGCCACTCAGTGCCGGGGGCTTCCTCCTGCCTGCTCTCAAGAGCTTGGAGAAAATGGAATGCTTAGCCTTTTCCCCTCAAGACCAGCTATGGTGATGGTGGCATGCCACTCCAAATACAATCTTTCAGCAGGTTGTAACAATAGATGCTGGCTGCAGTTCTTCCCTTCCTATTTAGTGAAATTAAAATTTCCTCCAAGTTTATATTGGTCTTGGTATGTTGGGTTAATTTTCATGGTGATAATGATGGCTTCTGCAATAGACTAATATCAGATTGTAAAGCCAACCCAGCAGCATCAGAAGTAAAGGATTTATGTGTTGTGGTAGACAGAGCAGAGATGGTCCTTTGGCTGTCCTGAAGTGTGTTCTCCAGAGCTTGAGCAGATGCTGTGCAGGTGTGGGGGGGTTCTTACCTCTCTGTCCTGAGCCTTCTCTCCACAGGAATGGATATCTACAAGCAGACTCCAGTGGGTTTATTGTTTTGCATTACAGGCTGGGAAGGAGTTTTTCCCCATAGATGACAAAGGCAATATTCTCACCAGTAAATACACGTTCTTGGATGCTTGGGAGGTAAGTTCTGGTTTCTTTAAAGTGTGCTCAAGGAGAAAAAACTGTCAGATACCCATTGACTCCACCCTGGGATGACAGCCCACGTGCCTTGTATACGATCTCATCACTGGGTTATCCAATTCTCTCATCACCCTTTCCTCACCACCAGATGGACTGGGGTTCTGTATGACACCATTTACATTTTTCAGGATAAGACTGAGATCTAAGTGAGGCAGGAAATACAGTGCATCAAAATTTGATATAAACATGCTGTACTAGAAACAGAGGGATACACTGGGGGCTCATAATAATTGGGCAACCTGGAGTAAAAATTTAACTCCTATAAGCCTCAATGTCCTTGTTGTTAAAAAAAATCATAGTATATAATAATGATGCATATCCTTAGGGTGTGGCAAGGATTAAAATAGCTAACATACAGAAATTTAAAGAGCCCATTGGTCATTAGCTCTCGAAAGGGAAGTTGCTTCCCATGTACAGAAGATAGTCTCTCTCCCAGGAGACTGGTAAGTTGTCGGATCATAAAGAAAACGTGTGACATAATCAGGACCACGAGGTCCAGATCTGTGTGACTCAAGTCCAGGTACTGAGACTGTGAGCATCCTGCTTGGCTATGAATATACATGCAGACATCAGAGATCACACGTGGCTTGCTTTTAGATCAATTGAGGCCTTGATTTGCATAGTCATGTTAAAAATGAATGAAAGTATGATTGTTATTCTCTAATAACTTTTACCATTGTATGAGTTAGGGTTATTATTGCTTCAATGAAACACTATGACCAAAACAACTTTGGGAGGCTCACACTTCCACATCACTGTTTATCAGCAAAGGAAGTCAGGACAGGAACTCAAGCAGGGGAGGAACCTGGAGGCAGGAGCTGATGCAGAGGCCATGGATGGGTGCTGCTTACTGGCTTGCTTCTCATGGCTTGCTCAGCCTGCTTTCTTATAGAACCCAGAACCACCAGCCCAGGGAGGCACCACCCACAATGGGCTGGACCCAATCTCTTTGATCACTAATTAAGAAAATGCCTTACAGCCAGATCTTATGGAGGCATTTTCTCAACTGAGGCTCCCTCCTCTCTGATCACATTAGTTTGTATCAAGTTGACATAAAACTAGCCAGCATAACCACTATCCTCTTGCAAATGCTAAAAGGTAGGACAAAGTGAATAAACAAGTCATGAATGACTGGAGAAAACAGACTCCAAGAATTGGCATGTTGTTTGTCAGGCAGTCCTGAATTGTGTTCTGCTTCAGACTCTGGGAAACTTGCCTTCTCTGGAGAGATTGGAGTTGATAAACTGAAATGAAGTGTAACTTTTCCATGGTGTGTCCCAAAGTGCTTATCTACTAGCACAGCGCTCTTGCCACTTTGAGCTTTCACTGGCTGTGGTAAGAGAAAAACCTTGTGGTAGAGAGCAAAACCTCAATGACAACTGAGGGTGAAGGCAAGGCAGGGTAGCCTTCCTGCCCCAGGGGCGAGGTTGGAAACCCTAGTGCTGAGGAATGCTGTCCTGGGGGCACACATGGCCTGCCTGCTGTTGTGAAGTTAGAGAGGCTGTGATTACCTCACAAACTGCTGAGGAAAGAAAGAGTCTTTCTCTCTGTGCGTATAGTCACTCCTAAATTGACCATGTTCCTTAAGTAATCCAATTAGACTCACTGTTTCAGGAACTAGATGGGTAGAATTCTTGCTCAGTCCATTTGTTCTTGTTACCCCATCTGGGGTGAACAGATGTTTATTCATCTGTTTCATCTCCCCAAGAAAAGTTAACACAACACCTGGAAATGTATTTAAAGGAATTAATCCTTGGCAAGTGAATCATTAAATTTGCCCTCTAGTAGCAGAACTTCTGTTGCAAGGAATATGGAGGGATGGGGGACTGGAGGCTGGGAATTCAGTTTTGTAGAAGCTTTGGTGCTTGTAGAGCAAGCACAAGGCCCTGGGCTTAAACAAACAAAACATTCTTTTAACACTTGGGTTCACATGGATGGGTCTTCAAGACTGGGTGAATTCTGGTGTTAGATGTGAAAGAAAAAATATTAACCCCAAACTACAACAATAAGAGGCTCTATAGAATTACCTCATGTGATTGTTGCTTAACAATTAATAGAATAGCTTATGCACACAGAATCAACAGTGTTGTAGTGTATACACTGAGACTCACAGGTAGCCTGATTTCATTGTTCCTTTTGCAGTGAGTTGAGGGTACTAATTAGATAAGATGTCGACTGTATATATTACTGGATTAAAAGATGTCCTCTTCAGTACCCTCATAATATTTTCTTGTGTGATATGAACACTAGTGTGTCTAAAGCTCATTCCATAGCATTTTCACTATAGCTCTTATAATGATGTCATACTAAGATGGCAATTCTGCCATAGTATCTTACATTGGGGCTAATTTGCTGTCTCGCAAATAAATCCAAGAATGATTCCTAAATAAAAACCTCACATACATAACAGATATCCTACTGCTCTGATTTGATCTTGGCAGGATTGAATATGTCTGGATAGGGTAGTATATGAATCCACAACCAATCCAATAGAAAATTCACTGGCCACAGTCTATAACAGAGGAGAGGAAGTGAGTCTAAAGAAGGAAAGATGGATCATACACCCAAACCAAACCTGACCCAGGTTACAGAATAGCATTTGTCTTATTTCCCACTGGGAAGGTGCTGGGACCTTCAGATCATGTCAGTGCTAAACTGTCTTGTCTGATAAAGTCTTCCCCATTCCTCACTCACCCTAGCACTTCTCATCCTGGTACATTCAGATCTGCAGAGGGCATTTTGAACATCCTAATGTCCATGCTGCATCCTAAAGGAAATCAGCAAGAAGACCTGGGTGTGGAGTCTAGACCACCCATTTTTTAGAACCTTTAGAGAGTCCAGGATTGAGAAACAATAGACAGTGTTAGCTGAACACATCCTGCTTATCCCTACCTCTAAGCCCTTGCTTCTCGGTTCCCCCAGTCTGTTCATGATTTTACCACCTTTCTTCATGTTATTTTTCTATACCCTGTTTGTACTCTACTCCTAATGTCTCCCCTGGGGGCCGGGTGGAGGGGGGGAATCCAGTGGATTCTTTCCTTCCCTCCTTGATTCTTGAGGCTGTATCAACTGTCAACTGAGCCGAGGTAGCCTCAGCACTGAGGCAGCTGGATCACTGAGGGGCACCCTAAAACTTTAATTAAACTGTTAGAATCTCAAGCAAGCTGGGTATGGTGGCACGCTCCTTTAATCCCAGAACTTGGGAGATGAAATTCTGTAAGTTCAAGGCCAACCTGGTTTACACAATGAGACTCTGAGGGAGGGGGGAGAATCTCAAGCAAAAAGCACATTGATTACTTTTACATTCTAGAAACTCCCAACAGGAATGTACAATAAATGGAATATAGATGTGTGTTCAATTTGTGACTGCTACAGGCTCTTTATAGGCAAAAAATAATAAACCCTAGGTCTTTGAAGTTGAGGCAGTTTTTGTAGGACAAGAGGTCAACAGGAAATATTTCAACCCCACTTCAGTTCTAGGCCGGGTTTGACTACCAGGGCCTGTAAATCTGCATGGCATTCCCCACTGCACACCAAACTGTTGTGAAAAATCATAGAACCTAGACCAACAGCTGGTCCTGATGGTTCAGGAATATAACCCTAGACAAGATGGAGACAGGGGCAGGAGGATCATGAGTTCAAATCCTGGCTGAAGTGCAGAGTAAGTTAGCTTAGGGCTTCTATTGTGGGGATGAAAACACCATGAGCATTTACAACTCTCAGGCCACATTCCATTGCTAAGGAAAGTTCATGGCAGGAATCTGGAGGCAAGAACTGATACACAGGCCGTGGACACTGGCTTGCTCAGGCTGCTTTGTCATGTTCTCTAGAACTACTTGCCCAGGTCTCACACCACCAACAATGAGCTGGACCCTCCCTCCCACTTCAATCAGTAATCAAGAAAATGCCCTACAGACTTGCCCATAGGCCAGTCTTATGGAGGCAGTTTTTTCATTGAGTCCCTTTTCCCAAATTACTCTAGTTTGTGTCAAGTTGACACAAAACTAGCCATCACAAAGGTCAAGGCTAGTTTGGGTAGAGAGACACTATCACTGAAAGGAAAAGTATCAGCTTAGAGCCCCCAAGACCAAGTTCTCATTGCCCAGAGGGACAGAGGGCAGGGAATAAGAGACAAAGGCAGGAGACAGAGGGTTTGGAAGGAGGGAATAAGGGAGAGGGGACAGGGGTATTTGTCTTGGGGGTGGGTATTGCACACACACACACACACACACACACACACACACACACACACACACACACACGACTGCCTCTGGATAGAGAGGAGACAGATGCGGCACATAGGAAAATGGCAGTTTATAAAGGTAAAAGGGGAAACCCTGTGTTAGGATGAGGTGTTTAATTTTAATTGGGTATGTTAATTAGGTGAGCCAAAGGGGGCTTTATGATTGCTGGACTTCAATACTTTGACAGCTGGACTCTGGTGGTCAGCCTTAGGGGGAGGAAGTGGCCAAATAAGGGAATAGACAGTGGTGGCTAGCTTTAGAAAGGTAATACAATTTTTAGCAAAGAAGAGGGAAAGGAGGAGAAGGCAAGGCCTGCCAGAGCCATGCTGGCCATGCTCGAGCTGGCCAGAGGTCCCTTCAGTCTCAAAATTTAAAAATGGGCCAGCAATGTAGCTCAATGGTAGTGTCCATCTAGTATGAGAGAGGCCCTAGGTTTAATAATCCTCACTAGCAGAAAAACAACTAATTTAAAAAGATACCCATAGAAGTGATGCCATTCCACAGACTAGAGCCTCCTTCATGAATGACCCACGTTTGGATGAATAGAGAGCAGAAAGCATGCAAAGCCTTCACATATTTTACTTTTCACATTTTTTGAGCTAGGGTAATGGAACTTGAAATAGCCAGAGTGCACCATGGTCTGGACTGAAACTTGATTTTAGTGCTTTTGCTAAACTTGTAATGGTGGATTCATTGCAAGGTTACCAGTATCCTGTATCATTGTAAAGCTGAGCCAGCATCCCTGTATCCTCCTACAACCATCAAACGGTCTTCCTTACTGTGACAGGTCATGGAGGAACTGGTGGACCAGGGGCTGGTGAAAGCCCTGGGCGTCTCCAACTTCAACCACGTGCAGATTGAAAGGCTCCTGAACAAGCCTGGACTGAAACACAAGCCAGTGACCAACCAGGTAAGTTCTCTTTGCTGAAGGGTCCTGCTCTGTGACTGCTTCCACACTGGGAGGCAATTTCCATACTATCTACTGAGTCTCATCTCTGAGGTCTGTATTCAGGATGCTTGGGGAGGTGGGAGGCAGATCTCTGCTCTGGTCTGTAGCACATCTATCAGTGGGTTGTATCTGGCCTGTGTGTTGATCTTTTCTTGTGCCTGGAGTTCCCTCTGAGCCACTCAGGAAGGAAGGCCCACTTCCCTAGTGACAGGTGTTTTCTCTTGCAGGTCGAGTGTCACCCATACCTCACCCAGGAGAAACTGATCCAGTACTGCCACTCCAAGGGCATCACTGTCACAGCCTACAGTCCCTTGGGCTCCCCAGAGAGACCTTGGTGAGGTTTCTGAGTGGTGGTTCTTTCTTTTATCACTCAAAAGTCATGTTTCATAATTGGTTAAGATAGCTTTGAACGTCTAAGGCACCTGAAAAAATGTGTCTATAGCAGTGTGTTTGGCCACAGGAGGGACACATATTTTGTGTGGTGGGGGAGGGGGCAGGGGAAGGAAGAGAGAGAGGAAGAGAGGGGAAAGGGAGAAAGAGAGAAGGAGAGAAAGAGGGAGAGAGGGAGAGAGAGAAGGAGAGACAGCGAGAGACAGCAAGACAGGAGAGAGAGAGAGAGAGAGAGAGAGAGAGAGAGAGAGAGAGAGAGAGAGAGCATGCATATCTAATCCTGGCAATGCTCCATTTCTGCCAACCAGTACCAGGATGGACTTAAGTTGGTAAAGCTCCTGATCCTATGGAGAGGTCCATGGGAAAGATAAAAAGGTTTCAGGTCCTCCTGGTTGCCTTGCAGATGGGAAAGGCTGTGATGTTCATCTTTGACACCGTCCTGGCAGTGATATTCACTGTGATTATTATTCACTCCAGCTATCTTTCTGCACTTAGGGCTAAGCCAGGGGACCCTTCACTACTAGAGGACCCCCATATTAAGGAGATCGCTGCAAAGCACAAGAAAACCCCGGCCCAGGTAAAATACTGTTGTCGTTGTTGGGTATTTTCCCTATTCTCCAGCAATGCTTCTTACTAGTCTTATGTTATGGTGTTGCCTGCTTTTAATCCCTTGGAGAAGAAGAAATAGGAAATGTGGGTCTGTTGGGATCTCCAGGAGATACAGCTGGTCTCAGTGAAGTGAGGACTGCCTGTGGCCATCAGCTTCTTGCCAAGTCCCCAGGCGGTAGCACGAGTGCATGCCTCTGGGTTTGGGTGCTAACTGTACAGGGCCTCAGTCCTTTGTCCGCCAGTCTCCCCATTCCTGACCAGGGAAAATGTGGAATTGTTTCCAGGAACAAGGGCATGAAAGTAGAGTTGCCAAGTGTTCCCTATGGTGAAATCCTTAGTTAACTTCAGCTGTCGTAGCTGAAGCTGTCGTAGCTGAGGCTGGAAGAGGCTACACACACATTTCCCTACACTAACACAGGAGAGGCTCTTGTAAGTGGACACCTGTTATCCCCTCCATGTGCACAGGTTCTGATTCGCTTCCACATCCAGAGGAATGTGGCTGTGATCCCCAAGTCTGTGACACCCTCCCGCATGCAGGAGAACATTCAGGTAAGGTCTGAGATGATCATCTGCTGTCCCTTGGTCATTAGAAGACAGGGTCCCAGTCCTTAACCACCCCTGTTTCACCAGTGTGTCCTTCCAAGGCTATTCTTGGTTGTCAACTTAACTACATCAGAATGAAGTACAGTCCAGAAATGGAGGGCACACCTGTGAGAGATTACTTTTGCTTGCCTTGAAGTGGGTGAATCTACTTTTAGTATAGACCTTTGAGACAGGAAGACACATGCCTTTGATTTGGATCTTGAGGTAGGAAGGTACTAATTGGGCCACCCTTTCTGCTGGAAGCCTATATAAGGACATGCAAGATGGAAGCCTGCTTTCTTTGTCTGCTTGCCCTCATCTTGCAGCACATCCATCCCTTCACTGGCATTGGAGCCTTCTTCTTTGGGATTCCAGCACATACTGAAGACCAGAAGAGACATCAGCCCTGTGGACTGAGCAACTACTAGATTCTTGGACTTTCTGTTCACAGCCAGCCCCAATTAAATGTTTTCCTTATTAAGAGTAGCCATAGCCGGGTGGCGGTGGCACATGCCTTTAATCCCAGCACTTGGGAGGCAGAGCCAGGTGGATCTCTGTGAGTTCGAGGCCAGCCTGGTCTACAGAGTGAGTTCAAGGACAGGCACCAAAAACTACACAGAGAAACCCTGTCTCAAAAATAACAACAAAAAAGAGTGGCCATGGTCATGGTGTCCCTTCACAACAATAGAACATTGACTAAGACAACAGAATCGAGATGAATTACCGTTGGGCAAAGATCGGCAGGAGGCAGGGACTAGCAATTGTACCTTTTAGCACTGCAAATAACACTGCTTACCATTGTGCACTTGGATCATGGGCCATAGACTGTCCTACCCATGCACAGACTGTTCTGGCCTGCACAACCCACCTGCTTACAGAAGAGGAATGGGCTAAATTTGAAGAAATGTCTCCTGGAAGATTACTGTCCAGTCATCCCTCAGGGATCACAGCCTCTGTCCACTAAGCATTTCTGAAAACCCAGTCTCCCTCCTTTAGAAGTACTAAACCCCATAAACAATCCAGTCTTAATTTAGAGAATAATTTGTATGCAGTGTGGACCTAATAGGAGAAACTCTAGAACCTGGGGTCTCACCAGCACTTCCCTTGCTAATGATGCTTTGGGAACTCTTGCTTCTCTAGGTGTTTGACTTCAAGTTGAGTAATGAAGAGATGGCCACCATTCTCAGCTTCAATAGGAACTGGAGGGTCTGCTCCTTGCCTATGTAAGTGGTGCTGGGTTTAGGAGGATGACCAGGAGTTTTACTAAAGTTGTACAGGGTTAGCTCAAGAGATAATAAGGCACGGGGGATGACTTTTGTCTTCAAATACTACTCTCAGGCAGTTGTGAAAAATTAAAACTTGAGGAAAGATATTGTTAGTTGGTACCTGTTTCCCAACTTTGCACATAGAGAAAAGACATGCCATTCCACTGTAGGAGACAGAAGTACTCATCTTCTCACTTAGTCACTCAATAACTTCCTGGTAATATGCTCTGGGCCAGCCATGTTCTAGGTGTCTGTTCCTGTGGGAACTTCCTGTTCCCACAGTCTTAGATTGTATAAAGGGATAGTTAAAGCAACATCACACACATATGTCAGAGAGTAACAAGTGATATAGAAAAAAATTAAGTAGGGCAAAAGGCATGAGGATTAGTAGGTCCTGCTAGGACTGATTGATGCTTTCTTCATATGTGATGACCCAGGGGCAGTTTTGCCGATAAATAGAGTGGGATTCTTGGTTGCAGCAGGTGCAAACACACCAGGTGTGTGTGGGCTGAGGGTGGAGCACTTGAGTAGGAGGGCAATGAAGCCAGAACCAAATAGGCAAAAGCTATTGTAGGAAGAAATAAGGTTAGAGACAACCTTGGGCTAAAGGCACACAGGTGGTCCAGAGCACGGGAAGGACTTTGACTCCAGCTCCTCAGGAGCTGAGAAGCCAGGAGAGGATTTTTGTATAGAGGTTTGCATATCTCATGGGTTGGAATGATAGATCTGACTTTTTGCATTTAGAAATTACAGGGAGACTAGTAGAATAATCTAGGGAAGAGATTACAGTCATTGGACCTACTTCATAATGTGATAGAAGAAATTAGGAAGATTTAATACTGGATAAATAGGAAAACAGAGCAAATTGAATTTGCTATCAAAACAACAACAATAACAAAACCATCAAATGTGGGTTTTGTTGCATTGGCTTTATTTTTGCTTGAGCAACTCTAGAGCAGAACTGTCATTTAGGAGTAACCATGAGTTTGAGAAATGCTTATGATACCAATTGAGCATTGAATAGGGAATGCCAGATGGAGTGAATTTATGAGTGCAAGTCATAGGTTGATAATAAGCCTGGTCTTGTGGCTTCTAATCCAAGCTCTACCACTTACTCATTGGCTATGAAGCATCAGGTAGATTCAGTAACTTCACCAAATTGTTTTCTTTTATTTACAAAGTAGTGATAATAATACTAATAACAGAAAACACACATTGAGTATTTAGGACCCTAAACCCTTTGCTTATATTCATATTTTACTTAATACAACAACCAATCTGTCAATTTCACCATGATTCCCCACTTTACAATGTGAGAATAAACCAAAACAGGATTTGTGAGGCCCTTGGCCATGATCTGTCATTCTGACACTAGTCTACGGACTTGGCCACTGATTATTCTCTTGCCCCTTTCTCTCAAATATTCATCAATTTGATGGAAGGTCATGGTATGGGTCCCCTTCTGCATTCCCATGGTCTCATGGGGGAAGAGGCTAAGAGAGCAGAAAGGCTGCTGAGTGTATCACATAATAATGCCGATGAGATCATATTTGTGGCTTCTGTGGAACATTGACTTCTGTGTTCGTGTTGCTGCAGGACAATTAATGCGGAGGACTACCCTTTCCATGTGAACTACTGAAGTGTCATTGCCTGATGAGAGTGTCTCATGGCTTTTCTCTTTGCTGATGTGCAAATAATTCCTCCTGAGATGTATTTAAGCCAAGACTGTTTGATGTCATATTATATCATCAAGCAGGTCTTGATGTTGGTCAAATCAAGGCAATGCTGTATTCAAATCCTCATTGTTCAACCAGAAGCAGACTACTTCATAGAAATGTGACTCAAATAAGTAAATAATACTCTTGTATATAATTTGATGTACTTGTCAAACACCAAGAACTATGGTAATGCTGAAGGCACAAAGATGAAATAATAAAAACAAGAACACTAACCAATGTGTCCAACACAGTCTGAAGTATTTGTTGAATGAGTGCACTCACTGAGTCCAGGTCTTCCCATTCACATTTCACTTGGCAAATAATAAAGGCACAGGGAGGCCAACAACTTGCTCATAGCCACCCATGCAGTAAGTGGCTAAACCAAATATCAAAGGCAGGTGCTTTCAGGGAGAGCTCAAGTCGATGTGTTGCTCTCTTCCTGCCAAGTCCTCTCCTGTTTCCTCCCTTTGTCCTTTCCTTGTGACCCTCTCAATTATTGTTGCTTCCTCAACTTGCCTTCAATGTACCAGCATGCCAGAGTCAGTGCTGGTGGTGACCAAGCCTGTGAAACCCACACAGATGCCACTGTTCATTGACAGACTTTGTAGCAACCCTGGGAGTGCAGTGGAAAACAGAAGTGAGTCTAGACATGAGAATACCATTGACCTCTGTCTTAGTTATGGTTTCTATTGCTGTGAAGAGACACCATGACCATGGCAACTCTCGTACAGGAAAATGTTTAATTGGAGCTGGTTTACAGTTTTAGAGGTTTAGTCCATTATCATCACGATGACAAGCATGGCAGTGTGCAGGCAGACATGGTGCTGGAGGAGGAGCTGAGCATTTTACAACCAGAGCAGCAGACAGCAGGAAGAGAAACTGAGTCAGTGGACCTGGCTTTAGCTGTGGAGACCTCAAAGTCCCTGCCTCCTCCAACAAAGGGACACACTCCCTCCAACAAAGCCACACCTACTCCAACAAGGCCACACCTCCTAATGGTGGCACTCTCATTGGGCCTATGAGGACCATTTTTATTCAAATCACCACACCATCAATCTGGGACATGCCTTTTTTCTATAGTATTTCTTCTTAGGAAGTATTCCAATCATTCAGAAAAGTATAGAGAGGAGCATGGTGGGCGTCCAGTAACCCATCTTACAAATTTTACCATGCTAATATTTTGCAACATTTGCTCCAAATGCTTTTAAAAAGAAACTGATTCAAGGACTAAGTGTTAGCCAGTGCAGTGAAGTACTCCTCAGTACCTTTCCCCATCCTTGTTCTCCAAAGCCAATGCCTGTTCTCAGATAGCTACACACAGTCCTGCTTTTCCTCAAATTTCCTGCCCTGCCTTCCCCATGCTGTGTATGATGGTTGGGGACAGGTGGTCACCTACATTTCTAGGCCTCCTAGTCAGATGGCTTCCTCTGTGATTGTTCAATGGGGGCCTCTGTTAGGAGGTTGAAGGTCTGCAGAAAGAGAAAGGCAGCTGTCTTCTTGAACGGTATTTCAGTAGAAGTAACATTTCCCGCGTAATCCCAGCTTGAAGCCTGCACATTGATTCTGACTCCTACCAGCGGACACCACTTCTGGGATTAGAGCATCCGCCTTCCTCCTGTATCCTATCATCTCTAGGAGTGGTGATCTCTACCTGCTGCTGCTCACCTTGGAATCACCTCCTACTCTTTTGCTCGATATCCCAACTCATCCATCAAGGTTGCAGAAGGGTGGAGCTCGCTTTTGAGACTTTGATGTTTTCGGCCTGGACTCTCCCTGACTCTGGTGATTGCTGGAGTCCCTGTGGCTCTTTGATGTGAAGCTGCTGGACTCACTTCTCCCTTTGCCTTCCCATGATGTTCTTATAGGGACGTCAGCCATCGGATCCATGATCCACCTTCACCCGGCATGCCCTAACTCTAGTTGCAAGGATCCTTTCTTTGAATGAATCTCATTCTGAGATTTGGGCAGACATAGACGTTTTGTAACACTATTCATACATTGTCTGAAGTATTGCAATGCCCTTATTTGAGTGACCCATGCTTCTAAAAATAAATTTGTGTACCTTTTTTTTAAATCAGCATTTTTTTTTTTTTTTAACATTCGTTACTTACTAAGAGGAGGTGAGAATTCCCTGTTGGAAGCCGTCAGGTAGATGCTGGGAATTGAACTGGCGTCCTCTAGAAGGGCTACCAGTACTCTTCACCACTGAGCCATCTCTCTGGCCCCATACTTCCTTTTCATTTCAGTATATCTCAGTATATTGCAACTCAACCAGTAATACAAAAGTAGAACATGTTAGCAGAATAAGTGAATAACTAGAATTGAGATGAAAACACTTGTTCATTTTGTTTGGTGTTTCCACTGTTCTAGAAAAACAAAACACATTTGCAGGTATGAGGTTCAAAACATGTGTGATTCTGCATATGTGTTAAATGCTTATTATATTTATATATTTAATATAATTATTACATAATAACAGATGCATACTGCAATTAAATATTGTTATATAACAGAGGCATGCCAGGACTTACTCTTGTCTAAAAACCTATTGACAGTTGATGGTTACTTGAAGAAGATATGACTCCTGGCCCATGCTACAGTGGGTGGTCCCACACTCAAGTGCATGCAGCCAACACTAATTGGATTCAGCAGGTTGAACAAAATAAAAATAGAAGATGAAGTTGGGAAAAAGACATATTCCAGGGGGTCCCAGTAAGAGTCGGAGAGTGAAGTGGATGAACATGATCAAAATGTATCATATATATTTATGACATTCTAAGAGAATAAGTAAACAATAAAAGGAAATATATATATAAATAGTTGTGTAACTGTAGATCTATCCCTGCCATTTCCATTAAAAGAAACTAAAATGCTGGGCGGCTGGGGTGGGAGGATTTCCATGAGTTTGAGGCAAGCCTGAGCTCCACAGTGAGTTCTGGGCCAACTGGGGCTATAGTGAGACCCTGTAACCAAAGGGAAAAAGAAGAAGAGGAAGAAAGAGGAGAAGGAGGAGGAGGAGGAGGAGGAGGAGGAGGAGAAGAAGAAGAAGAAGGAAAAAACTAGAATTACATGGAAAAATAGCTGTTCTAGAGTTGAAGCAGGGAAAGATAACCTTGAATAGCTTTTTTAGCCAGAAAGTAAGGGAGCACTAAGCAGATAATGGGGCCCACCAAAGGGTACAAAACCCAACTCAAACAGGGTATGCAGATGAGTGGCACTAGTGGATAATAATTCTTGAATAACATGAGATTCATTAAAAACCCACTAAAATGAAAAAAAAAATGAGAAAAGAAATTCTTCTCTGAGTATTTTTTTAAAACCCAATCTGTGTAGAAGAGACAACAGTTAGAAAAGCCCCATTTTGATAACCATATTAGCAATTAATGTACTCAACAACAGTGGATGTTTAAACTAGTAAGCAAATGTTTGGTGAGCAAGTGTATTTGCCTGTCACTCCTTAGTTGCTTATACTTCTTCCTTATTTAATTACTAAAGGAAAACAGTGTAAGAATCTGATCGAGACCACATACTAGTTTCTTGTTGATAGGTACTAAATGATCACAAACTTGATAGCTTGAAACAACATGCATTAATGGTATCTAAATTCTTTAGATCAGACATGAGGCAGATCTAACTGTGTTTTCTTAGGTCTCCTACGCTAAAATCAAAGTCCCAGTCAAGCTGGATTCTTATCTGGAACTCTTTTGAGTAAAGGATTCCACCTTGTAGTCTCATTCAACTTATTGGCAGAGTTTGGTTCCTTACATATGTAGGACCTTGGATTCCTGTTCCTTGTGGGCTGTTATCTGGGGACATACACCATCCCTGGTAGCAACTGTTCTCTGCTCTTTATTGAGACAAATCTGAACTTCCTTGGAGTTGAAGCCCAATCACACTTTATATCTTGTTTTTTCTTCTGCAGCCTGCCGAATAAAATGTTCCTTTTTTTTTTTTTTTTTAAAGAGGTGATTTGTTTGGATCGGGCCTTCCTGGATAGCCATCCCTTTACCATGTAAGAATGCAACCATGGAAGTGAGGTCACAGGGCCATCTTACAGTTCTGCTCCTAATATTACTTTAGTCGATCAAATAATCAATTTAATATTGCCAATAACAGGGCAAACTGAAATAGTATATGCTGACGCAGGAAGAAGAACTGGCTTTAGATTTGTGCTATCTCTACGGAAGCTGAAAACTTGAAATAAATACAAGGACTCATCAGATGATGAGAAACACTCAACTCAGTCAGTCACCTGTGATCTTTAAAACCATTGAGATCGGGAAAGACAAGGGCTGTGGAACCAGCACAGATACAAGGAACACTAAAAACATGAATGTGCGAAGGTGGCATGTGATTCTAGCCGGGTCTCTTGACTATGAAGGACATTATTGCAGCAACTGGTAAAACCCCAATGGGTCTGAATGAAAGGCGGTAAGGACTTAAGATCAGTATCCTCATCTCAAAACTTGTGATGTAATAATAGGTGTCACCCCTGTGTAAGAATTACATACTAAAGTATCCAAAGGCCACAGCATAGCATGTCAGCAAATTACTTTCAAGTGACTCAGAAAAAGGACTGTTGCTATTATCTTCTAAGGACTATTTCTGAAATTATCTTTCAAAGGGGGAAAAGGGATCAATAATAATCAAAGTAAACAAAAAAGACAAAGTACATTTCAGCTGAATTGAGAGGACTTAGGAAAGAATTTCAGTTTACAAGAATAATCAATTTCAGGAACTGAAGCTTGGAACACTTGCCTAGTACACAGAAAGCTCTGGATTCAACCCACAGCACAGCAAACACAAAACGATAACAAAATCCATTTTGCTTTATGCCGAATATTTTTTAAAAATCACTGAGACCTTTCTCCTGTGGAAAATGTGAACAAAATGTGCTGTCTTTTCCATCAGAGGTTGAAGAAGACAAGACAAAATCTATTGTGTCCTTGTGTGTCTCCAGGGACTTGACCTGACTGGTGCCACGAGGGAATGAAGAAATGATAGATACATGGATATATGGACACAGAAGAGTTGGCCTGGGGTTCTGGGCTCTCTGATGGAGAGACCGCAGCACCCAGGAAGCTTAGCATGTTTATCACATACAGTTGATAACTTGTTGAAACAGCAAGGCAGGACTATGGGTATGTCTGAAAAAAGGAGGTGGGTTATTACCGATAAACAAGGAGGCAGGGTTTATGGTAAACAGCCGGATCAAGGAGAACACTCTAGCTAA